CCGCCTATCGTCGTTCGATAAGAAGCATATCAAAAAAAAAAAAAAAAAAAAAAAAGAAGCGGCACGATAATAAAACGTGATTGTTGCGTTTGTGTGGACCGCGATCAGTTCAACGATAAGACACGGTTTGAACACAATGATCATCGAATATTCTTTGAAACGATATTGCGCGAATCTTATTATTTTATTCGATAACGGTATATAATTGTTTGGTACACAATTCGATAAGTAATCATTGAAAGTTTAAAAAAAAAAAACAGATCGTGCATGTTTTATATAGATATAATTATTAATTGCGTGTGGCATGTAGTTACACGATAGTATCAATATTTTTTTACGCCTCCTTTACTTCTAGATATGTATTTTAACATTTTTTATATATAGGTTGAATTACACTGATTGAATATCTTTTTTTAACTGCTTTTATTATTATAATATATACGTTTTATATTTTGTTTTATATGTTTTGTTATAATATAAATTTCATTTTTTTTATCAACAGATTTGCCTCAACATGGTATACCTGGTAAAGACTCTAACTACTTTCAGTAAACTTTTTGTTTGCTGAATTTACAGATAACTAAGTCTTGAGATTGTGTTTAATATATTTGATATGATCTTCCTAACACGTATTATTATCTCTTTCGAGATACATTAACTCCGTTATCATGATAAATTAGTTTTTTGTTGGTTTATAATTTTATAGATGGAACTGTTGATATTTTTTATCTACATGTTTATAAGCTGATATTAGGATATACTGCCTGGTTTATTTAATACTTAAACATGATTTAAAACAATATAAATTTTGTTACATAAAGATAAAGATTATTCATAGATTATTTGATAATTATTTAGCAAAATACTAAAATATACTCAAAATATTCTTTCTACCAAATAGAGTTAGGAGTCCTCAATGTATCATAAACATAGAAAAATTAATCTTTTCATAGGTATCCAAAATCCCTCCTATTTACGAACGCTCAACGGCCAGCAACATTTCATTTGAGAAAGGAGGCGTGTTTAACGTATGTGTTTGGCTAGATGCTACTAAAAACCTTTTGAAAAACTAAAATATGATGATAAAATTTTAAAGAAATGAAATTCTAGGTATCAAAGCCATGCAATCGCCAGCCGCGTCTGTCATTTGCTTCTCGTGGCGTGAGATCGTGGCCACCGGAGGAAGAGTCTACAAAAATGGATACAGTTCCTTTGCTAACCCCAACCATGGAGTCAGAATTGCTAAACGAGCCCTGGATATTTCCACAGTCAAAGATCAATGCAACAAAAGAAGACGAGAAAACAGCATCCTCCACATGGGAGGAAAACTTTCAGGATTTAAGCGATTGGTGCATGGACCCGTTCCAGGGTCAATGCGATTTTCATACAGGTGAATCACCTACTTTTAAACTATCAGGTAAATATAAATATTATCATTAAGAAGAAATTTATATAGGAAAAAGACATTTGTTCCTTAATTTTTGCAATTGTAACATTTCAGGTACGAAATACGAGGGTAACAGCGTTTTGTCTTCAGAAGAGGGGGTATTGAAAGATTTGATGAGTGTAGCAGAAGAAGATAAGTGGAGCATGAAAATGAATACTGCTAAGACAACCGAACATTCAAATAACAGTTGCCAGAGTTTACAATCTACATCAAATGTAACTAGTAAATATGAGAAAAAAAATAGTTCAACAGAATCAAACACATCTAACTTGTGGTTAAAGTTATCTAAAGGATCAACAACTAATGTAAATACAAGCTCATGGAGCAAACAGAATGATACAGATGTTAGTACATCATTCCAATCCAGATATCAGATAGAGGATATTGATTTGAACGATGCTTGCCCGTCTTCTTTCGATTCCACTGAGAATCAACGTGAAACGTGGGACGTGTTACGAACAGTCGAGACTACTGGATCGGATACGTTCGATTTATTGTCGTATCTTTGCGATGTAAGTTTTAAATAAGATTTATATAATTCAAGTTCAAAATATAATTATTACATAAGAATCACAAAAATGATTATTAATAAAACATGTACTGCATATTATAGGATGAAATGCATTCTCCGGAAGGTAGCGTTTCAACAGATTCTTCAATAGTATCGAAACCATGGTCATCCTCCAAATCATCCAAAACTATTTCAAAAACTAACGTAAAAGTGAAAACGGAAAATAATGATACTCTCACCCCACAATGTACGAAAACTCGAACAGCAGCATCAACGATAACTTCATCTTCTACAGATACGCCTGTGGTATCAACGCGGAGAACGGAACGAACAAGAATATCTGCTACCAATAAAATAGAAAAACCTTACAGTCGAACGCGACGAGAGAGATCAGTGAGAAAACGTTACGTTGAAAGCGATTCAGATGATCGTACGTTTGCTTCACATTATCGAGAATCACGAGAAAAAAATAACGAAGCTTCGAGAAAATCACGAATGAATAAGAAAGCGAAAGAGACTGAAATGGCGAAGAAAGCGATTGAATTGGAACGAGATAATAGGATATTGAAAATGAAGGTCGAGGAACTCGAAAAACTCGTTACATCAATGCGCAGTGCATTATTGAGGTCCGCTTTGAAGAAAGAATTATAATAAAAGCGTTTCTTATTTTAAAAATTCATTATGCGCTGGGAATCGCGTAAGATAATTTTATCATTTCATATATTATATATCATTTATATATTTTGTGATATAAGAGAAGAAAATCATGCATTATTTTCATCTATATTGCTAAGATTATTAATATGAGGAATGATTTCAAATTGTTATATTGAATGAATTCTTTTATTTTTGTTTATCGTTTGAAAAAAATTATTGAATTCTATTATATATATATATACAGATATATACATATATCATTATCATTCGCAGAAAAGATATATTATGTTAACATTCTATGTAAATGTTTGTTACACAATGTTTGTGTTTGTTTTTTTTCAAAGATATCTTATGTACAATTATATTTTATATATAATGCTTATATTGAAATCTGAATACTGTTCATATAATTATAGTGAACGACAAAGCAAAAAATGGGATAAAAAGATAGAAGAAAATG